AGTAGCCCCCCACGCAGCTCCGCGCCGCTGCGCCCCGCCGAGCCCGCCCGCTACGCCCGCCTCAAGAACTGGGAGCTGGGCACCATCGTCTACGACACGCTGTGCGCCCAGGCCACGCAGGTGGGTGCTGGGGACACGCGCCTTGGAGTGTGCTCCAAGGGATGGGCTCCAAGGGGCGTGCGCCATGGSATATGAGCTATGGGACACGCTCCATCGGATGCATTCAACGGGATGCGCTCCTCGAGACRCACTCCTTGGGGTGATCCGAGCAATGGGCCATGGGATGTGATCCATGGGACGTGATCCAAGGGATAGGCTCCATGGGATGCGCTCCTTGGGGCGTGATCCCAGGGATGGCCGCCATGGGATGTGCTCCAAGGGACATGATCTATGGGACACGCTCCATGGGATGCACCCAACGGGATGAGCTCCACGAGACACACTGCTCCAGGGGAYGTGATCCTTGGGATGCACCCAATAGGATGTGCTCCACAGGATGCGCTCCATGGGACATGCTCCATAGGATGTACTCCATGAGATGCGCTCCTTGGGATGCGCTCTACGGGATGCAGTCCTTGGGACGTGCTCCAGGGGATGTGATCCTTGGGATGCACCCAATAGGATGTGCTCCACAGGATACACTCCATGGGATGTACCCCATGAGACACGCCTCATGGCAAGCACTCCGCACGATGCACTCAATAGGATGTGCTCCATGGAATGTGCCCCATGGGAAGTGCTCCACAGGTTCCCCACAGTACCACAGTTCCTGGGGATGCCCAATCGGTGCTCCTTGAGACGCACCCAATGAGATGCTCTCCATGGGACACGCTCCTTGGGACATGCTCCATGGGATGCACTCCACAGGACGCACTTCTTGGGATGTGCTCCACAGGATACGCCCAACGGGATGCGCTCCATGGAAGGCACCCCATGGGGCACTCTCCACGGGTCCCCCCGCAGTGCAGCGCGGCGGTGCCTCTGGGCGCCGGTGCCATCCCCTGTGCCATCCTGCAGGATCTGCCGTGCACGGAGCAGCGGTGCCTGGCCTCCCTCGTGTTCCCCAGGCAGCTGGGGAGCCCCGTGCCCGAGGGCTCGCGCCCCGCCGAGGAGCTGCTGGGGCTGGCGCGCGACTTCCTCGCACAGTACTACGCGTCCATGCGGCGGTGAGTGCCAGCCGTGGGAACAGCCATGGGCACAGACATGGCCATGGGTATAGGCATGGCCACTGATAACACCACAGGCATGGACTTGGGTATGACCATGGGCACGGGCACAACCACAGCCACAGGCACCGCCACAGGCATGAGCATGGGCACGGCCATGGGCATGGGCACAACCACAGCCATGGCCATGGCCATGGGCACGGGCACAGCCACGGGCACAGCCACAGCCATGGACACAGGCATGGCCATGGGCACGGGTACAACCACAGCCATGGCCATGAGCATGGTCATGGACATGGACACAGCCATGGGCACAGGCATGGTCATGGCCATGGCCATGGACACAGCCCCAGTCATGGCCATGGGCATGGCCGTAGACACAGTCCCCGTCATGGCCATGGCCATGGCCATGGACACAGCCCCAGTCATGGCCATGGGCAAGGCCATGGCCACGGCCTCGGTTGTGGTCATGGCCATGGGCACAACCATGGCACTGATGCACGGTGCCYGCAGGGACAACTCGCCCGCGCACCTGCAGCGCCTGCGGGACGTGGAGGCCGCCATCGCCGCCACRGGCACCTACCAGCTCCTGGAGCCCGAGCTCATCTTTGGCGCCAAGCAAGCGTGGCGCAACGCGGCGCGCTGCGTGGGGCGCATCCAGTGGAACAAGCTGCAGGTGGGGACGGCRGGGACAGCGCGCTCCGTGGGGCAGCCCCCATGGTCCCATGGGTGCTCACGGCCCCCCGGCAGGTGTTCGATGCCCGCGACTGCGCCAGCGTCGGGGAGATGTTCGGCTTCCTCTGCACCCACATCCAGTACGCCACGAACCGCGGCAACATCCGGTGAGCACCCGCTCCCGGGCCCTGGCGTCTGGGACGGGAGGTGCCCGCGGGCTCTGCGGGGCGCCCACGAGTCCCCAAGCAGGTCCCGTCCCCGTGTCCCCCGTGGGTGCCCGCGCACCCCACACGGCGTGCCGTGCTCCAAGCACCTCCCGTCTCCTGCCTCCCCAGGTCGGCCATCACCATCTTCCCGCAGCGCGCGCCCGGCCGCGGCGACTTCCGCATCTGGAACACGCAGCTCATCCGCTACGCCGGCTACCGGCAGCCCGACGGCTCCGTGCTGGGCGACCCGGCCAACGTGGACATCACGGAGGTGGGGACGGCCCCGGCGCGGGCAGCCGCCSCCGGCGCCGCCGGTCCTGACGCCGTCTCGTCCGCAGCTCTGCATCCAGCACGGCTGGAGCCCGGGCGGCGGCCGCTTCGACGTGCTGCCCCTGCTGCTGCAGGTGCCCGACGAGCCCCCCGAGCTCTTCCCGCTGCCGCCCGAGCTGGTGCTGGAGGTGCCGCTGCAGCACCCGACGTGAGCAGGGCACGGAGCGAGGGGCACGCTGCCCCTCCGCGGCGGGATGCGGAGGAGGATGGCATGGGATGAGAGAGGGGATAGGGATGGGGATGGGGATAGGAAAAGGTTGAGGTTGGTGGTGTGACAGGGATGGGGATGGGAAAAGCATGAGGATGGGGACAAGGATGGAGTTGAGGATGGGATTGATAAGAATGGGGRTGGGGATGAGGATGGAGATAGGGATGGAGATGGGAATGGCGGTTATAAGGATGGAGAAGGAATGGGGATGAGGATGGGGATAGGGATGGAGATGGGGAGGATGGGGGGTTATAACGATGGGGATAGGGATGGG